TGGCCCAAAAAGCTTAGCCAGAAGGATTACAATTTCAAGGCCAACCTGCACTATGCAGCAGGACCTTGCTAACCCCCTTAAAAACATTACTGAGTTTTGAGACAAGGTCTTCCTTTGGTTGCCGAGTTGCCCAGGCTTTTCTAAAACTTGCAGTTTTCCTGCATTAGCCTCCCAGAGTGCTGGGATTACAGGTGTGTGCCACTGTGCCTGGGCAAGAATTCACTTCTTTAGAGCAGACAGAAATTTTACTGTGTTGCTTTTCTGAATGATGTTGTCATCACTTACACAAAAGTTTTAGATTCCTTTTTCAAACTTTTTTTTTTTTTTTGAGATACTAAAGGACTACTTCCCCAGTCCTTTTTATTTTCTATCTCTTATCAGCATGTGTTTACAGTACATAATAATTACATTCTTTGTGGGGAGTTGGCATATATACATAACTTTTTTATTTTGAGACAGGGTCTTGCGTCAAATTTGTAATCTTCCTGTATCAGCCTCCTGAGTAGCTGGGATTACAAGTGTGTGCAACCAACTCCTTGCCTAAGTTTCTTTTTGTGGAATGATTTTAGGGTCTGCCTCAATCATTTTGTATTTTAGTGTTCTTTTGAGACAGCATCTTATTGTGTATCTCAGGGTGCCTGTGAACTCGCTTTGTACTCCAGGCTGGCCTCAAACTCATGCCAGTCCTCCTGCCTCAGTATCCTGAGTGCTGGATTATAAGTATGCAACAACAGGCCTGGCTGCATTCCAATGTCTTGAATAATTTTTTTATTTTTTATTTTTTGTATTTTAGGGAAGGGTCTACAGGGTATTCAGGGTCTCACTACTAGATCGGACTCCTAGTGATCTGCCTTTTTACAGCCTCCCAAGACCTGGGATTACAGGCAAGAACCACCACATCCAGTCTCAATTGCTGGTCCCAGCACACCCTGGGGGTGGAGGTGGGGGTGGGAGGGCAGCAGCAGGCAGGTGTGGCCCCTGTACCTGGTTGCAGGCAATTTAATCCCCTGAGCTATTTGGCTGGCCCTAGTTTTGAATAATTTTTTGCATGTCAAAAGAAATTACCAGGGGGCCCGGGAGATGGCTCAGTGGAATAAGCGCTTCCCTGGCAAGCACAAGGGTCTGAGTTCAATCCCCGGTTCCGCAAAAAATAAAAAAGAGAGAGAGAGAGAGAGAGAGAGAGAGAGAGAGAGAGAGAGAGAGAAAGAGAGAGAGAGAAAGATTACTAACAAAGTGAAAAGACAACTCACAAATTTGGAAAAAATCTTAGCTAATAAGCACTCAGACAAAGGTCTGCTCTCTAGAATTTATAAAGAACTAAAAAACATTAGGGCACCAAAATTTAAAGACCTAGTTCAGAAATGGGCATCTGAGATGAACGCACACTTCTCAGAGGACAAAGTTATAGAAGCTAATAAATATATGAAAAAATGCTCCACATCACTAGCTGTTTGTGAAATGCAAATTAAAAGAAAACTGAGATACCATCTCATCCCAGAAAGAATGGCTATCATAAAGAAATCAAACAGAGAGGCTGTGAGGAAAAAGGAACCCTTCTCCACTGCTGGTGGCAATGTAGACTGGTACAACTTTATGGAAATCAGTGTGGAGACTCCTTAAAAAACTAGGACTGGAAATCCCATTCAAGCCAGCTATCCCCCTACTGGGACTTTTCCCGGAGGAACTGAAAACATAGTATCACAGTGATATATGTGCACCTATGTTTATAGTAGCACAATTTGTGATAGCCAAATCTTGGAAACAACCAAGATGCCTGTCATCTGAGGAATGGATATAAAAGATGTGTTGTTTTTATACAATGGAGTATTACTCAGCTATAAACAATGATAAACTTGAAACCTTTATATTTAAGTGGATGCCACTTGAAGATATAAGTGAAATAAACCAGATCCACATGTGTAAATATCGTATAATCTCCCTAGTATAAGAACTCAAAAGAAGAAATAAAAATAGAAAGGTATAACACAATTAAAAGGAAAGTGAGAACTTAAGGATTAAGTAATGAAGAAAGGGTAAGGAGAAAAGCTAGGAAACATGACAGGGGCAAAGTCATACATTTATATGCACAAGATGGTTAAGGCAATGATCTTGAGAATCTTCAGCAGGTTTTTGAAACTAGCAGTTAATTGGTAGGATTCTCACCCTAACTATATATGCTCATACCTGTGAACTAAGCAACTGCATTGAAGACAGCAATGTGTAGTAGTAGGGCCATGCTTGGAATGTCTGTCATTCTGGTCTTCAAAATATGTACTGCTTATTATGTCATTCCAATTACTGCCATACTGTCTCTCAAGTAAATGTCAGGTTTTTTTTTTTTTTTTTTTTTTTTTTTTTTTTAAAGGGTAATACATGAAAACAGACAAGAAAGGGGCCGGGGAGATGGCTCAGTGGAATAAGTGCTCGCCTGGCAAACGCAAGGTCCTGAGTTTGATCCTGGAACCACCAAAAAAACAAAACAAAACAAAACAAAAAACCTTAAGAGACAAGGGAAAAAAAAAATCCTGTAACATTTCAACCATTTTGTTGTACTTATAGCCAAATTTGATTTGATACTAAGACTTGTGCATAATTGGCAAATATGATGAATTAATATGACTAAAGCCAAGGTATATATTTGAAATAATAGAGTAGACTTTTGGTGTAATGTAAATTGAGTGATTTTGGAGAATTCCAGAAATCGTTGTGCATTGGCAACATTGTTAGAGTACACATACTGGTTACTTTAGAGTTACCTTCATATGCCTAGAGTATCATTCACTTTCTATACAAAGGTGCCAAAAATGAACTGTTCTCAAGACTTATCTTTCATGAGGGAGAGGGATGGGTGTAGTTATTTTTGTTTACATTTATTTATTTTTGTCTTTTTGAGACAGAGTCTCACTGTACAGTTCAAGCTGGCCTTGTGCTTACTTTGTAGCCCACCAGTGATCCTCTTGCCTAAGTCTGCCAGGCTCTGGAATTACAGGCATGTGCCACTATGCCCAGTTTTTTTTGTTGTTGTTGTTGTTATTGTTTTGAGACAGGGTCTTGCTTTGTTGTTCGGACTAGACTTTAATTTACTGTGTAGCCTGCACTCGCTTTGATCCTGGTCCCACCATAATTATTATTCTACCTCAGTCTCTCAGAGTACTGGGATTTCAGGTATGCACCACTATGCCCAGCCTTCTCCTCCCTTAATTTATTTATTTATTTATTTATTTATTTATTTTTTCTCGCCACTGGGGAATTGAACTCAGGACCCTGCGCTTGCCAGGAAAGCACTTATTCTATTGAGTTATGTCCCCAGCCCCTCCCTTAATTTTTTAATCTGTGAAAATAATTTATTTAAAACCTATCTTAGTTTTCATTGACAGCTCTTTTATTAAGCAGTAATTTAGAAGTTTTTTGAAACAGGGTCTTGTTATGCAGTCCAAGTTGGCCTTGAACTCACCATATAATATAGGCTGCCTCAATCTTGTAGTAATTCTCCTGCCTCAGCCTCCCAGATTCTGAGATTATAAACTTGTAGCACCATACCCGATTGAACTTTCTAATACTAAGAAACACATACTGGTTTGTTTAATTCCTCAATTTATAATGGCATTTGTTGTCTTTTTAGTGATTTATATTTTTCTTCCACCACCAAAATGAGAGAATTGTAAAGTGACTTGTTTTGAGAAATCAGCTGTTTTAATTTTTTACTTGAAAATGTATAGTCAGTATTTTGAAGGGATTATTAGATATTAGTGTTCAGTGGTTTTCTTCCTCATTTTACATTTTGTTATTTGAAAAAGTTTTGTCATAGTTTGAAATTTATTTTATCAGACAAAATTATTAGCTACTGTATGTTGCCAGGCAACTTACTGCTTCACTTAAATTTATGCTACCTGTTAAGCTTCAGTCTTTTCATTAGGGTTGTAATTCATAGAGTTGATGACAGGACTACTTCTGTGTATAATCTGTTATGAAAGTTTTTCTTTATAAAGAATTAAGTGATAGTATATTCTGTTCATACATTATCAATCTTAGGTTAAAATTTATCTTGTAAAAATAATATATCAACAACATTTAATTTATTGATTATTACAAACATTTTAAAGATTAAAATAATAATTCTAGCAGAATTGTTTTTCTTGCTTATCCAAATAAATGCTGATGTGTTTGTATATTAAATATAACTGTGTTCTAGGTTAACTTCTCAGCCTGGTGCTGCATTACCGAACGGACATAGTGGCTTATGTGAGTATTCTGTTGTAAAACTGCCTGGTATTGAAATTCTTACAGTGGTGTTAGATTAAGCATCAGTGTGTGGGGAAAACAGATTGATTCAATACTCTGCTGAGTTTATAGTTGGAAGTAACTAGGTAAAAAATGTCATTGAAAAAATGTATGAAGGTTTTAAATTTTAAGAAATCTGTATAACTAATAATTTTAAATGTGACATAAAATCCCTATGGAAAATTTAAATTATTGAGTATTAGAGCCATTAAGAAGTTATGTTCACGCAAGGGCCTGAGTTCAATCCCTGATTCTGCAAAAAAAAAAAAAAAAAAAAAAAAAAAAAATCCACTTTAATAGTCTTTTAAAAGTGATTTTAGCCAAGTATGATGGCACATGCCTGTAAACCCAGCACTTAGGAGCATCACTGTGAGTTCAAGGC